TGTCACCCCAAATGGCTACGCGTGTCAGCACTGACACGCGTGTCATAGGTTCGCCATCACTGGGTTAGACACTTTGAGATCCAGGAGTTTTAACTGCTTTTATGTTGCAGTCTACAGAAGCCACTCCTGCTGAGGCTGATGGAGCTGGCAAAGGAGGAACAGCTGGAGCAGAAGCAGCTACTAAACCCGAAACTGATTCAGGATCTGCCTCAGTAAGACAGCAGGCAAGGGAGAGGGAGGAGGGGTCTCATTCTCCCCTATCCGTTTTTCACATTTAATATGAGCAGTTGTGTGAACCCATTGAAGATAAAATGTTTATCTTTTTTGAGGTGTGGGTCGAATCCCTAATTTGTTGACTTGGACCATAGAACAAAGCCCATTATTCATCTGTAGATGGGTGTCTCTCTGATGCAAACAGCTAAACATACGTATTCCTGCAGCATTTGCAATTCATCTGAATTAGGAAGAATACATCTGCTTCAGTCCCAGTTAATCATTTTAGAACTTTTATGTGTGCCCAACATCTGGACCTACGTTTAAAAACAAAAACAAAACCCCTTTTCATTGCTGAGGCTAACTTTCATTTGTTCAGCATGTCTAGTTACAATTTGATACCCTTACAAAATCAGAAACAGCAGTTACTGCTGGGAATGAGAATGATTCCGAGGACACAGAAATTAGATATATCTGTGGTAAACACCAAAACTGATTTTAGATATTTTTTTAGAAAAGGGAGAAAATTGAGTACAATAGGCCATCTTTTCATAAGTCATTCTCTTTACCTCAGCCACCCACCATATCTAAATCCTAACTTCCACAAAATACGGAGACACCTAATGAATATTTGAATAAAGGATCCATGTTAAGAAACGGCTACAGGGAGGGTTTGCTCTATGTTCTTTTCTCAATTGGCCTAACTTTGGTGCCTTTAATCCTGTTTTATTTCCTTCAGAGTTCTCTGCCAACTGTAGTTGTGGATTCTGCCACAGTTAATGGGACCGATGAGAATAGAGCCATCTCTGAGAGGTCTGACATGCCACCAGGATTTCTCTTCAAGGTAAGTTTTTTTTATGGTGAAGATGCACCTGAATATTCATCCTATACATGCAGCCATTCCATTCTATGTGCTTTGAATAACTGGAGCTGTAAAATGGAAATTTGACTCAGCCCTTTATGAGAACTCAGTGCACAATTTTAAATGAGTTTAGTTTGGATACAGGAAACTCAACAGTGTCACATGTAATGCTGATAAATTATTGTCTGTTGAAAGAAGAAATAAAGTAAATAGAGTAGACTAGTTTGGATAGAATCTTACTGAGTTTCTAAAATCTAATATTTATTTATATTTATTTTAATTTATCCTATCTATCTATCTATCTATCTATCTATCTATCTATCTATCTATCTATCTATCTATCTATCTATCTATCTATC